CGCTCCCCTGGGCTGTCCCGAAGGCACCCGCCTGGGTAGGTCTCTGGCCCTTCACTGCCCCTGCGTCTCGCCCGCATCCTCTCCGTCCACGTCTGTGCCAGACTCCCGGACAGGAACCTGGGGGATAGGAACCTGGGGGTCGTGCTCCACGCCCTCTCCCGCAGCCCTCCCGCCAAAGCCATTTCTAAACCTCTCCTGGCCGCTGCCTTAGGGCAGCCCCCTCCCCTAAACTCCCTGCCCGGTCCTCTCTGTGTATCACCCCCAAAAAGATAAGAACCGTGGGAAACGCTGGAATTCCCAGCTGTGGCCCACGTTCAGGACTCCTCAGCTGTGCTCCGCCCTCTCTCCCCACACCTGCGTCTCACAGAAGCCCTCCAAGGTGTTTCTGAGGATGACGTGGGGTTTTGTCTGTTGTCCTCAGCCAAGCACATGGTGTGCTCCATCCTTGGCAGGAATAGGCAGTAAGGAGGTAACAAGCGCTATTAGTAATTATGATAGTGTTGTTTTTTTCCCTTTCTTTTTCTTTTTCTTCTTTTTTCTTTTCTTTTTCTTTCTTTCTTTCTTTTTTTTTTCTTTTGCAAAACCTGAGCTCTTGCTGTTCCTGTTATATAAGCTATTATCCCCCAAAGAAGAACTATTTTATTTTAATTTTATTTTTTAAGTATATTTTATTGATTTTTTTTTTTTTTTTTTTTTTTTTTTTTTTTTTTTTTTTTTTACAAAGAGGAAGGGAGAGAAAGATAGAGAGCCAGAAACATTGATCGGTCGCCTCCTGCACACTCCCCTGGGGATGTGCCCACAACCATGGTACATGCCCTTGACCGGAATCGAACCCAGGACCCTTCTTCAGTCTACAGGCTGACGCTCTATCCACTGAGCCAAACCGGTTTCGGCTTTCATAAGGAAAGGGCATATGTGTGTGTGTAGACCTTTTGGGGGAGAGCTAATGATTTTTAGGAAAGATGAATGGGCCCTTGAAAGAATACATAGGAGGTGAGAGTTTGTAACAAAGTTGGTTGGGGTGTCAACTTCTAGTTTCTTCTTCTGTGATGAGTCAGTCTTCCCTGGCTGATGAAACCCTCAGAAAGGAGATTGGTGATAACTGAGCTCCTTTAATTTGGAGGACCCGTCTTTAGGCAGGTAAGGTATTCAGAGAAAGCCGCGTCCTGCATTTGCTGTTATCTTTGGTAAGGTGTATTTTGGATAACACGTCTTTATCCTATATATCCTTTGCAAACATTTCCCCCCATTCTCCGGCATATCTTATCTTCTCATTTTCTTGGTGGTATCTTTCACAGAGCAGAAATGTTTAATTTTAATGAAGTCCAACTTATTAATCATTTCATAGATTGTGCCTTCTTTGGTGCTGTATCTAAGAAGTCATTGCCAAACTCAAGTTTTATCTAGAGGTGTTTGTTTTCTTTTGGTGTTATTTTCTAGGAGTTTAATAGTTTTGCATTTTACATGTAGGTCCTTGATCCATTTTGAGTTAATTTTTGTGAATGGTGTAAAGTCTGTGTCCAGACTCATTTTTCCGTGAACTTGCCGTTGTTCCAGCACCGTTGTGAAAGGACTGTCTTTGCGTATGGTATGGCCCCTGCTCGCAGACGTCAGTGACTGTATTTACACGGGTCTATTTCTGGGCTCCATCTTCTCCTCCATGGACCTAACTCGTCTGTTCTTCGACCAGCGCGCACCGCCTTGATTATCGTGGCTTTGTAGAAAGTCTTGAATTTAAGCAGTGTCCGTCCTCCAATTTTGTCCTACTTCTTTTTCTTGAGCTGGTTTTCCTGGGTCTTTGGCTTCTTAATTATTAAAAGTCTAAAGGGGGGAGGTCCTGAGACAAATGTCGGCGGATTGCTGTGTGGAGAAAGATGGACAGACACACAGACGAGTGCATTAAATTCTTATGATAGGAAAGAGGTGAGAGAGTGTGTGTGTGGGGGGGGGGGGGTTGCGGGAGGGGACCCGAACTGAGCTTTGTGCATCCCACTGCCTCGCTCTGGGGGCCGGACACTCTGCTGCTGTTGGGTGCATCTCTGAGTCCAAATTTAGAGGCTGTGTGACCCAGACAAGCCTGCTCTCAGGAGAGAATCTGAGAGAGGCACAGGGGGTGAATTATCAACCTCCCTCGGACTAGAGAGCACAGGGCAGTGGGGCCGTTGGGAACTGGTCTTGCACTTTCTCTGAGAAGAAGGCGGGTCTTGGTTGTTAGGGCTCTGCCTGCTGGCCTTCATAATGAACATGTTAAATCTCAAGAGTAAACCAGGGCTCTGCCTGCTGGCCTTCATAACGAACATGTTAAATCTCAAGAGTAAACCATGGCAAAAAGGGGAAGGAAACACGCAGCCTCAAACCCCAGAGCAAAAACAATGATGACCCCAGGCCTGTCGGACTTCTCCGGAGAGAAAGTGTCGTTTGCGGACAGAGGCCAGTTGCTTCCTCTGCTCCCCGCACCTGGGCCACACCCCAGACTCAGCCCCCTCCGCAGGGCGAGAGGCCAGCAGCTGGCTGGAGCAGAGCTGAGGGTGGAATGGGGACCGCCTTCCGATCAGGCCGCACAGCTGCTCCCCGACCCCGCTGACCTCATCAGCTGCACCAGCTCCTGAGGAGTCCTGAGAGCGAGCCAAAGGAAGCGAGGCCGGAGCCAAGCCTTCCTGTACCCCAGCTTGTGGAAGTGCATTGCCCCCCGGGACCGCCCCGGGTGGCTTCCCGTTAATTAGCCATTTGCCAGGCACACCCCCAGGCCCCGCTCCTGGCACTGTGCCGAAGGAACAGTATGTCTGGGGGGCACGGGTGGGTGCAGAGGGCCCCTCAAGGTTCAGACATCAGGTGTGTGTGCTGTTGTACAGGGAGAAGGCCTAGGGTTTTTATCGAATGTTTGAAGGCAAGGGGAAGTGCTTTCTCAAAGGTTAAGAATCACCATGCCAGAGGTCAACAGTCACTACAGCAGTTCTGTTGAGGATTTTCAAAATGTTCCTTTAATAACATCAATTCAAAGAAATAGCTCAGGTGTTCTCCAAGCCTGGCTCAGTGCTAAGAGCTGGAGAGGCAACAATGAGCAAGAAAGACCAGACGCCATCTGTGTGCCATTGAGGAACACGGGTACAAATCAAAGTCTCACACACTCACACACACATGCCAGATTTCAAATCATGTCTTGCTATGAAGGAAAGAAACCTGGTTTTATGACAGATATAACAGTGGATGTGTAGTTTTTGTTTTTATATGTTTGGGTTTTTTTGAATAGGCAATGCACTCAAGTTAAACATTTTTCATAAGAATTATACAGTGACAGCCCCCTCACCCCACCCACCCTAGCTCCCAGCCACTCCCTGAGGGCCATACATGTTCTCCAGACTGGTGAGTGGCCTCTTGCTGTTAGACCAGGGGGAAAAGAGCAAGCTGGCTTGAGAATATGAAGCTTGAAATGAAACTTGAAGCATGAATGTGAGTTAACTCAGTGAAGGGGACTAGAAAGAAATGCGGAAGGTACTCATGACAGAGGCACGAGCTTGTGCAAAGGCCCTGTGGCAAGAGACAGCATGGTGTAACAGAAGAGCTAAAAGAACGCCCGTGGCTAGAATGCAGAAAGCAGGGAGGCAGAAGCCCAGGATGCTGGCGGGTGGGGAGGGCTCAGCATGAAGGTTTTCCCCCTGGAAACCCACTGAATGAGGAGGGGAGCCATAACCGAGATAACCGGCAATCACACTCGCATTTTGAAACTATCACCCTGGCTTTTGTATGGAGAAGGGATTGGAGGGGGAAGCAGTTAATGGGTTCTTACTCAGTTCAGGTGAGAAATGATGTGGGTTGGTGCTGGTGTTTTATCTACTAGAGTTCCTGGTGCATGAAATTCATGCATGGGGGTTGTGTCCCTCAGCCCAGCCTGCACTCTCTCCAATCTGGGACATCCCTCTCATAATCCAGGACTGCTGGCTCCCAACTGCTTGCCTGCCTGCCTTCCTGATTGGCCCTAACCGCTTCTGCCTGCCAGCCTGATCACCCCCTAACCACTCCTTTGCCTGCCTGATTGATGCCTAACTGCTCCCCTGCCAGCCTGTTTGCCCCTAACTACCCTCTCCTGCAGGCCTGGTCACCCTCAACTGCCCTTCCCTGCAGGCCTGGGTCCACCCTCAACTACCCTTCCCTGAAGGCCCAGTTGCCTCCAACTTCTCTCCTCTGCTGGCCTGGTCACCCCTAACTGCCCTCCCCTGCAGGCTTGATCACTCTCAACTGCCTCCCTTGCAGGCCTGGTCCCTTCCAACTGCCCTCCCCTGCTGGCCACCTAGTGGTGGCCATCTTGTGTCCACATGGGCAGTCATCTTTGACCACGTGGGGGCAGCCATCTTGTGTATTGGAGTGACGGTCAATCTGCATATTATTCTTTTATTAGATAGGCTAGCAGGTCCTTAAATAACAACATCTCTTTTTTTATAATGTTGATGAGATGCTGTAAGAACTTAACTCTTGTTTATATCAACTGCTCTAGGGTAAACTTGGTTTTGTGATCCGTTTTTTTTGTGGCAGTTCTGAGAAGCATTCCGTGACATTATGTGAGGACTTACTGTACACTGCAAGCAATGGGTTGGGGTGTGTGGTTTTTGCTTCTAAAAAAAAAAAACGTTAACAAAACATTTGTTTCAATTCTCCCAGTTGAGTAGAAGAGAATTCGTAATAAGAGTTTGCTTAGAATGTAGTTAACCCCTGACTAGATTTTGTGTAAGCGTGTGGCCAAACTGACAGCATAATTTAGCGTTCCCTTGACAAGGAGGATGGGCAAAGAGCTGAATCTCCTGGCATTCTGCGGGAAGACCCCTGGTCCAGCCTCCCACCTGCTCACCCTCTGCAGGAGGCTGCAGTGGCAGGAGGCTGTCACTGCGGCCACAAGGTCATAGCCGAGTGACCATGTGGGGGATGCTCAGTACGTAAAGCTCCTGGGGCTGAAGTTATGGAGTATGGGCACGCTCAGTTTTCCTTCTGTCCCCCTGACCCCCAGAATGGCTTATCCTGAGGAGCAAGGAGGCAGCCCCGGTGGGTTCATCCGCCAGAACTCCGGCAGCTCCGTTTCCTTGGACTTCGAGCACCACACTGAGTACCGGTTTGTGGAGCAGTTGGAAGAGCGGTACAAGTGTGCCTTCTGCCACTCGGTGCTTCACAATCCCCATCAGACAGGTTGTGGGCACCGCTTCTGCCAGCACTGCATCCTGGCGCTGAGGTGAGTGGGCAGGGCAACTCCGGCCACAGCTGGCCAGAACGGAGGCGGGGATGTCCTGGGCTCTCAATGTAACTGTGGCCTCTCAGCTGTCATCGTGGTTGTGGGATGGCTGTGGTCGGCCACAGAGCCATGAATCTGAGGAGGGACTCTCCCAGGCTCCTTCTGTGAGATCCTAGGAACCATCTTCATTTTTTGCCACTCGCTGGCCCGTGTTCACCTTTGGTTAAAAATGCAGACCATGCCTGCTTTGCATGTGTTTCCCCAAGTCACCTGGCCCTTCCTTGCCTAAGGCAGCGGGGGCATTGCATTCAGAAGGAATCTCTTTTTTCTTTCTTTCATTTTAATATATTTAATTGATTTTTTTATAGAGAGGAAGAGAGAAGGGTAGAGTTAGAGATATCGATGAGAGAGAATCATTGATCAGCTGCCTCCTGCACACATCCTACTGGGGATGTGCCCGCAACCAAGGTATATGCCCTTGACTGGAATCGAACCTGGGACCTTTTAGTCTGCAGGCCAACGCTCTATCCACTGAGCCAAACCAGTATCTCGCTGGCATGGGGGCTGTTCACGCCTGGGCGGCTGTAAAGCCTGGCTCATGCCCTGTTGAGGGAACAGACCAGAAGAGACATAAAAGTGGGCGTTTAGGGCTTATCGAGGGGCAGGAAGGAGGTTGTATCCTGCTCAGCTGAGAAAGGGGGTTATTGCAACACACACCCGTTCATTCATTCATGGGCTCATTCATTGAGTGCCCGTGGGTGCCAGGCACCTTGCTAAACGAGGCTCTAGTGTCCAGAGTTGGAGAGCTGGAGGTTCAGGGTGGAACAGGACCCGGGCTCTGCCTTCTAGAATGTTCCAGTCCAGTGATGCAGACAGGTGGCGGTGTAGTGTGATAAGCAAAGGGATGGAGAGGGCATTGAACGCTGTCTGGGGGACTCACTATTTGAATTACTTGTGTCCTGGGAATGAAGGGGAGTGTTTTAGGCTGGAGAGGTGCTGGAGGTGGGGTGCTGGGGGCCTTCTGGGAGAGGGAATAGCGTGAGTAAAGACAGGGCCTGGGCTGCTGGGGGGTGAGGGGGGGCGGCAGGTGAGACACATCAGGAGACCAAGCATGGCAGGAGTGCTGAAGAGCTGTCAAGGTCAAGTCTTAATTCTGGTTCTATTTTTATTTTCCTCCCCAGAGAATTAAATGCAGTGCCACTCTGCCCTGTAGATAAGGAAGTTATTAAATCCCATGAGGTAAGAAAATCACGGCTTTGGGTTAGCAAGTCTCTAGTTGATAGAGAAGCCAGTACTCTGATTGGACATCAAAGTTGGAGCAGGAAAGGGGGAAGGGGAGGTGAGGGAAGGCAGGGGGCGGCCTTCCCTGGGGCCCATATACCTCTGCTGAGGAGCCAGGTTGGACCCCACTCTTGACACTGTCTGAGAGGCCTGTTTGGGTCTTTATTGACTCCCCACGTTTCTTCTCCTGCTTCTTCCTTACGCCCCTGCCTATCCCGGCTCCAGCTATCCTGAGTCACTTGGAGAAATGAAACATCCTGTTTCCTGGAATTCTCTTTCTCATCTGGTTAATCGCGAATACTTCCTTTGGCTATTAAGTCCAACAGCAGCCTTACTGAGCTAGAATTACCATGTCTTAAAGTTTACTCGTAAACTGTACATGTTTCTTGGGTGTGTACCTAGCGGTGGAGTAATTGGGTCAGATGGTAGCTATGTTTAACACTCTGAGGACCTGCCAGGCTAGGTGTTTTCCAAAGCAGCTGCACCGTTTTGCATTCCTGCCAGCAATGTCTGAGAGTCCTCATTTCTCCTGATCCTTGCCAGGATTTGTTATCGTCCATCTTCTTTATTATGGCCCTCCTTGTGGGTATGAAGATAGGTCTTGTGGTTTTGATTTGCATTTCTCTAATGGCTAATGATGTTGAACGTCTTTTCCTACGGTTGGCCATTTGTATATGTCTTTTGTAAAATTGCCCATTCAATTCCCTTGCTCACTTTCTCAGTGGGTTATTTGTCTTTTATTGTTGAGTTCTAAGAGTTCTTCACATATTCTGGATCCAAGTCTCTTATCAGATATATCATTTGCAAATATTTTTCTCCCATTCTGTGGGTCATCTTTTCACTTTCTTGATGGCTTCTTTTGAAGCACAAGTTTTTTATTTTGACGAAGCCTTCTTTATATGTTGTTTGTTTGGTTGCCTGTTCTTTTAGTTGTATCTAAGCTATAGTCATACTCAGTTTTCTTCCTTTAATTTTTTAAAATTTGTTTTATTGATTTTAGAGAGAGAGGAAGTGAGAGGGATAGAGAGATAGAAACATCTATGAGAGAGAAATATCGACAGCTGCCTCCTGCCCACACCCTACTGGAGATCAAGCCCATAACCTGAGCATGCGCCCTGACTGAGAATTGAACTGGTGACCTCTTGGTTCATGGGGTAACCCTCAACCATTGGGCCATACTGGCTGGGCAGTTTTCTCTCCAACCTGAACGCTTGTCTGATACACGCTCCTACTCTATGCTCTTATTATGCCTTCTGAAAGACTGAGCATAGGGCAGTGCTATATTTGTGCCTGCCTCCACACTGGCCAGGAGGTGGCATATGGCAGTTCAGGATTTGTTAGAACAAATCCAGACACCTGTTTTTGTATGGCCTGTGAGCTAATAACAGCTTTTATATTTTTAAATCATGGGGGGGGGGGGGGATCAGAAGTGCACACAGGAACTCTGTACTATTTTTGCAACTTTTTTTGTGAGTCTTAAACTATTTCAAAATAAAAAATTGTAATAAAAGTAAGAATAATGTTATGGTCCTAGCTGGTTTGACTCAGTGGATAGATCATTGGCCTGCAGACTGAAGAGCCCAAGGTTTGATTCCACTCTAGGGTACATGCCTGAGTTTTGGGCTGTATCTCCAGTGATTCTCTCTCATCATTGATGTTTCTATCTCTCTCTCTCTCTCTCTGAAATTAATAAAAAAAAATATTTTTAAAAAAGAATAATGTTATGCATCATGTGAAAATTCTATTTCAGTGTTCATACATCATGTTTCATTAGAACACAGCTATGCCCTTTTGTTTAAGTATTGTACATGGTGGAGTTGAATAGTTGCAACAGAGACCATTGCAGTGTGGCCCACCAAGCTGAAAATACTGCTCTCTCACCCTTTATGGAGAAAGTTTGCCGACCCCTGGCTTGTGCTGAAATAGCAAGTCCGCACAGCTGCAGGGACGCTACCTGATGACTAATACAAACCCATCTGCTGGGACAGGAAGCTGGAGGCATCACTCTCAGCCACAGCCCCGCCTCCTGACCTTTGAGCATGCGGGGTCACATTCACAGGGAGCTTCTCTGGACATTGATTTTCTGCCTTGCATGTGTAGTGGCCTGTCAGAAGTATGTATCTGAGACAGCTTTTCCCTTTATGATGCTGAATCTGACATTTATTTCCATTCCAACCCCACTGTCTGGAAGTTTCCACCCGACTTCTGAGATGTACCTGAAGACCAAGTTCATGATAACTCATGCTGCTCTAGAGCTTCGGTGTGAGACCTATCATGTTTATCTTTCAGGTGTTTAAGGACAATTGCTGCAAAAGGGAAGTCCTCAACTTATATGTGTATTGCAAAAATGCTCCCAGGTGTAACGCCAAGATTACTCTGGGACGATATCAGGTTGGTATTGCACACAACATTTATCTTTGCCCATTTCCAGTGATGGGCATTGAACACCTTTTTTGTGACGGTTACTGGGCTAAGCATGGGGGGTGGGAGGGTGGCCATTGGGCTGCCCTCAGAGAATTCCTACCTAGAAATTCTGTAGCACAGCACTCGAAGGGCTGAGCTGTGAGTGAGGAGGTTTGCTCTCCCTGGAAGGCATGGAGGACGTGCTACCTGAAGGAGGCCTCGCATTGTGGGTGTGGGGCATTGGTCCAAAAGGAACGCTTAAGCAAGGGCATGTCCTTGGGGGGAGAGGGAGGTGGGACTGTGAAGGATTTGGGGTCCTTAGTGTGGGAGCCAGGGTATGACTGCCTGGAGGCATTTGCAGATGCCAGAGTGGTTGCTTCCGGGCAGCTGCCGGCCCTGGCCTCTTAGAGTTTATGATCTAAGGCAGAAAGCAGATCAGAACTGAGACAGGATGGAGTTGAAAGGTGAAGCATTGTTAGGAGATGCAAACAAAAGGTACAGGGGAGGTGAAGGGGCGTGAGCTTCCTATCCAATGAAACTGTCCTATCCTGTCCTGCCCAGCTCTGCCAGCCAGCGGGAAGCTTGTGAAATTCAGGGGTGAGATGTGGCCCCGGCAGGGCAGGCCCCTATCAGGTTTGATCACACGCCACCGAGTGAATAAGGTGCAGGCATCCCAAGCTTCCAGGGAATTGCTCGGAGGCTGCGGAGATTTTCCACTCCCGCCCACAGCCCACACGTTTTGGAACACAGCCCTTCAGACTCTGCAGGCACTGAGCTTATACATGTGCAAATGATTTCCTTGTTAGCACAGGGAGTTCTTTAAAAATTCAGGGAACTTTGGCTGTGTTTTCCTATGACAGCCCCTGGCCACTGGCTCCGATGGTCAGATAGTCAGGCCCTCAAGCAGGGCCTCTCCCCAACTTTGGGTTATCGCTAAGCGTGAAGGGGAAAGGAGGCTCACATGGACCAGGGGTCAGCTTTAGTGACCAGATCACGAGCTTCTGGAGAACAGTGATTGCTTTCTTTTCACCTCTTTCTTTCGGATTTCCCCTCATTCCCTGTCCTCCCCACCTTGTATGCCAGGGTGGGGGGATCTCACAGATAGCAGAGTCCTGATGGACGCTGACTGTTTTGATGAGCTGAGGGTAACGTCAGTGAATTTTGGATAAGATATGGATTTCAGTTGTCATCACCATTTGTTTCTTGCCAGCAGAGGCAGAGCAAAAATAGGTGTATTTATTTATCTCCCATAGAAAAACTCGTTGCGCTTTTTTTTTTTTTTTTTTTTTTTTCCTTCAGAGAAGGAGTCAGCAAACTGTGGCTGCCAAGAGCCAGACAATAAATAGTTTAGGCTTTGCAGTGTCTGTCACCAGTGCTCAGCTTCCCCATTTTAGAGGCTAGATCACCCGAGAACAAATAGATAGGAATGTGGCTATTCTCCAGTAAAACTTTATTTACAAACACAAGTAGCAGGCCAGGTTGGCCCAAGGGCCATAGCTTTCCAATCCTGTTTTAAAGGACTTTTTTTTTTTTTTTTTTTTTTCCAGGCAGACAAACCTTATTAGGATTTTGATCACTTGTCAGAATCACAGTAACTTACAGTCATTCAAACGTTCTATTAAACTATGCCAGTTTTCATACATCTCTAATGTGAAGACAGCTAGAATGAATTCTGATAATGGCATTAGTCTCCTATATTCCAGTTGAAAATATTTCCTGACCTTGTAAGACTGGCCATTCCAGCTCCTCGTGGGCCTATGGGTTCTATATGTCCCCTACCTCTTTTTTTGGACCAGCTTCCTCTCCCTCCCTTTTCTTCCTTTAATCCCTTCTTTTCTTCACACTTTCCCCCTCTGTGCTGGCTTTTACCATCTGCAAATTAGTGCCTGGTGCTAGGGGAGGGGATAAAGCGTGCACAAAGGAAATAAAAAATATTCTTGAGGTCTGGTCAATTCATTGGCACACCTCAAGGAAATATTCAAGAACTAACCTGAGAATTTGAGCCTGTTCCTAAGTAATCTAAAATAAACTCGTTATACCTCCTCCTTCTTTTTCCATCTTTCCCCATCCTCCCAACTCCCACCTCTCAAGACTGGCTTTCACAGCCTGGGTCCAAGCAGCCGCTCTGTTCAGCGCTCAGAGCCACAAGGCATGGCCGTCCTTCCTCCCAGCGCTCCATAGCGGTTCTCTCTAGGCCTTTCAGCGCCTCTTTCCCACCGCCCTGTTATCTGTTTGTCGCAGGACCACCTTCTGCAGTGCTTATTTCAAGCTGTGCAGTGTTCCAATGAGAGCTGTCAGCAGTCAGTCCTCCGGAAAGATCTGAAAGAGCATCTGAGCGCCGACTGCCAGTTTCGAGAGGAAAAATGCATTTATTGCAAAAAGGAGGTGGTCGTCATCCATCTACAGGTAAAAAATAAAAATAAAAAAGATTCCTCACCTTTATGGGGCTGAATTGTGCTTGAGTGATCACAGGGCATCAGATGGGCTACCAGAAGCCCACCTTTCTGGATTTATGTTTGTACAGAAGCACTAGGTCTAAAGAGGAACTTGATGTGAGAGAAGTTCTGTAAGGAACAAAAGCTTTCTGGGTGGCATTCGTTGATCATTGGCAAACATGTGTTTGGGCACTTGCTGAAGATGAGTGTGCAAGGAGTGACGCCAGAGACGGGTCACCAGGAGGTGGCGGTGCTGTCTGTCCCCGGGATGCTGTGATCTGACCGGGGAGGTTGGCTGTAGGCATAAGACAAGAGCATGGCTGCCTTTCACCTGGGCCAGAGGAGCCACGCTGATCACTCCCACTGCCTGCCCTCTCGGCATCCTGTGCCCTCTGACTTCCTTTCGGAATAACTGGGAACCTTAATGGAGTTGAATTCCTTTATACCAAGAAGGCGGCCATCTTCATGCAATCCTTTCTGGAAGTAGACCATACCTTCTTCTTTTTTTTTAAATTTAATTTTATTGATTTTTCACAGAGAGGAAGAGAGAGGGATAGAGAGCTAGAAACATCCATGAAAGAGAAACACCGATCAGTTGCCTCTTGCACACCCCCTACTGGGGATGTGCCTGCAACCAAGGTACATGCCCTTGACCGGAATCAAACCTGGGACCTTTCAGTTCTCAGGCCAACGCTCTATCCATTGAGCCAAACCGGTTTTGGCAGGCCATACCTTTCTGATGGTAAGCCACATACATAGGTTCCCCGAGAGACATCTGTATAAACTCTCCGAGGGCATAAAAGCAAAGGGGGCTTTGTCTCATCACACTTTTTCTGTTTCAGAATCACGAAGAAAACTTGTGTCCCGAGTACCCAGTGCCTTGTCCCAACAAGTGTTCGCATGTTATTCCCAGATCTGAGGTAACTGTAAATAATTCTCTCGGTAGATTTCATGTAAGATAAAGTCTTAGCAGTCATGACAGGGTGTGTCTGACAAAACCGCCTAGGCGAAGGCCCAAGGCTTCGGTGATACATACCCATGATAACCATGTCTCTGTCTGCCCCTCCCATTTCCCAAGAATTCTCCCCCGTTGTCACCATAGCACTCCCTCCACCAAGCCTTAGCATCGCCTTTCCCCCCCTGTTCCCGCCCTTCTCCCCAAGCCTCCCTGGGCTCCCTGCTTGCTGCAGTTACACCAGACAGTTGGAGGATGGCCGATGAGTGTCTGTAGCGTGAGGCTGTCCGTTTCGTAGGTGGACAAACACCTGGCTGTGTGTCCTGAGGCGGAGCAAGACTGTCCTTTCAAGCACTATGGCTGTCGTGTAAAGGTATGGCGCGCCTTTTGGTTTCTGCCTCTACAGTCTACGTATAATTCACTGGGTGAGTTCCCGGTACTCTTCGATTCCATCCGGGATGCAAAAGGACATTCTCTTCTGAGAACTTGAAGACTGGGAATTGTATTTGTCAGGGTTCTCCAGAGAAATAGAACCAATAGGAGATATGTAGTATATACTTAAATATATATAATATGTACTTAAATACATAATATATGTAAATATACATTTATATTTACATATATATATCCTTCCATTGCATGAAATGCAGAATTGCTTTCCAGCTCTGAAAGAAATCGCCTTTATAGTTCGACCCAAACTTCCAATTGGATTGTTTTCTGGAATTTACCTCCGTACCAAAGCTGGGGAAGGGATTTATTCTCTGGCCAAGGGGCCAACCCTAAACTGAAGGGCAATCGCTAACAAATGTTTGCTTCGAATTCATGGGCCACCCAGAATCCCTAAGATCTGCTTCTATTGGTAACATAGGCACTTTGCAATGATTGTGAGGGCAATACATTTGCTTGGGCTGGAATTATAATTAGGTTGCACACCTTCAGCCTGTGATAATAGGATGGTGATGGAAGGATGGAAATGTGCTTCGCAGGAGGGAGAACTAACCTAGCTTAGAACTGACCGGGAACTAATTCACCTAGGAGATAGGTTTTATGTGGGAAGAATTGAAAGATGACAATAATTACATTTAGCCCACAGTCATATACAGGGTGGGGCAAAAGTAGGATTACAGTTGTTTGTATGGCAAAGAAGATAATAATTAATAAATAGTAATATAAGAATAGCACACTTATGCATTCCCCACCTCTTTCACCACCACCCCCTCTCTCCGGCACATTTTCCTTACCTCTCTCTTTTTCCTAAGTTCAAAGGGCCCCCATTAATACTCCTGCAGATATACAATAAACAGGAAGCCTTTAGTAATCGTGATCGCTAAAACTCTATCTTACATAATACAAGAATAAACTCTGTGTTTCGCGTACTCACAACTGTAAACCTACTGGGCCCCACCCTTTATTCTCAGGACAAGGAAGAAAATCAGCACTGAGAATTTTGATAATGGCCTGACTCTCTGCCCCGTATGTTTAAGATTGTCTCATGGGTACTGTAGAATCTTAACGCTGCAAAGGGGACTGGAGGGCCATCCTCCCCCCCAACCCTACCCCCGGCAACCCATCTTGAAACAAATAAGCAAAGTTGTTCAAGTTTTGTTTTAGCAAAGTATCCCATCACCATCCTCGTTTGGGGACCCTTTCCACCTCCTGCCTCATATTTTCTCTTCCTGTTGAAGGGTAAACGGTTAAACCTGAAGGAGCATGAGAACTCAGCCTTACGGGACCACATGCTTCTCGTTTTAGAAAAGAACTTGAAATTAGAAGAACAGGTAAATGAATAGTCAAGGGTTCAAATATACAAGGGGGGCGGGCAGCAGACTTGCTGGGGTTTGCCATTCTTGGTATTCTTATATTCTGTTTCTGTGTACGTCGACTGGAGGTAGGCCTTTCTCTATTAAGTGGCCAGACAGAGTCCTAGGATTGTAGAATATTAGAAGTGGGAGATGCCTTGAAGTTCCTCGTTCAACAGAGGAAGGAACTCAACTCAAAAGAAAGCTTCATGCGTTTGTAACTTGTGTGGGGATTTGATCTCAAACCCATGTCCCACAATCCTGTCTGGAGCCTCTCCACACTCCTGTTAGTTAATGATACCTGGCAGTTAGGAGGTGCCTAGGAGGTGTCTGATGTTTTAATCGAAGCCTATGTTACCGTGAAATAACAGTTGACAATCTCTTCTAGGCACTATGGGTTTATGTGTTTTGTAGTAAGTCCTAACTCCTGCCTTTGAGAAGCTTTGCTGAGAGAAGAGTTGTCTAGGTCACGCTTAGATGTTTGGTTATTTCTTTCAAGCAAATTACAAATTCAGTGCGTTTTGCCTACCACTGGCTAGCTCTATGCTGGGCAGATTACTCAAACACTCTGTTCCTCTGTTTTGTCATCTATAAAATGGGAGTGATATTCATACCTGACACTCAGAGTTCTTTGAGGATAAAAGAGCTCATGAATTATAAGGCTGCTAGAGGCCCGATGCATGTAATTGATGCAAGGGGCTTGGTTGGCCCTTGCAGCCGTGGCGACTTGCCTTGGCCCTCACAGCTCTGGCTTCGTCTGGAAGGTGGTCCAGAAGGACATCCGGAAAGATATCCAGAAGGTCATTTAGCATATTACACTTTTATTATTACAGATGATAGACATTCAGCAAATTTCAGCTATTATTTGATACTATGCACATGGCCTCCTAACATGGTATGGCAATCAGCACACTGTGGTTCTGTAGTAAGTGCATCCTGAGTGAATGAAGAGAAACAGTTCAGTAAATTCAGCCATGTGATGTCACTGCTATTAGATGAACCATGATAGCGGGTTAGGCATAGGAAAAACTGATGAGAAATCTGTGAATCAAGCCTTTTTCAAAGCACCTGCAAATATTTTCCTAGAATTATATAGGAATTTACCTGTAAATATTTTCCTAGAAATACACACACACGTGTGCACACGTGTGTATTAAAACAGAATTAAAACAATATATATATGGTTTTCCTCAAAACACTTTACGTGCAATATTTTCCTAGAACTATATTAATTTTAATTTGTATGCATGCATTTAAATGACCTCATTCACATTCCTGTTACTAGATCTCTGACTTACATAAGAGCCTAGAACAGAAAGAAAGTAAAATCCAGCAGCTCACAGAAACTGTAAAGAAATTCGAAAAGGAGTTCAAGCAGTTCACACAGCTGTTTGGCAAAAACGGCAACTTTCCCTCAAACATCCAGGTGAGAATGACCTTGCTGTTCATAGCCAAGAAGTAGTCTCCAATTAATTGACAGAGTGGGTTTCTCTTATAAGGTTTTTTTGTTGTTAATCCTCACCCAAGGATATAGTTTCCATTGATTTTTAGAGAGAGTGGAAGAGAGGGAGGGAGGGGGGGAAAAAGAGAGAGAGAGAGAGAAACTTTGATGTGAGAGAGACACATCGATTGGTTGCCTCCTGTACGCTCCCTGATGGGAGCCAGAGATCAAACCTGCAACCCAGGTATGTGTCCTTGACCAAAAATTGAACCCGCGACCCTTTGGTCTGCAGAACGATGCTCTAACCACTGTGAACACCAGTCAGGCTTCTCCCTTTGTTCCTTTTGAACCAGTTGAGAATAAGCTGCATATATTGTGGCATTTCACCCCTCTATGCTTAAGTATGTATTTTGTAAGAATCAGGATCTTTTACAGAACCCTAGTACATTTAGCAAATTTAACATTAGTTCTTTTATATCATTTATGGCATGTAGGGTTTTAATTAATGTTGGGCCAATATTAGTCATTGGTTCATTGAGAACATCTATAGTTCTGCATCTTATAGTCAACACAGTGAAACTATTAATTCTCTTGGGAAGAAAATGATTTAAATACTATTAAGATATAGCAAAATTATTTGTAAATCATGAATGTGAAATAACCATAAACAAATTCCTAATGGATAATGTCTTTATTGTGATTATAAAATTATAAATTTTATAGTGAAAAAGATTTCAAGACATGTGGTATGGGCAATAGTTTTGAAATTTGGATCCAAGAAGATGCAGACCATATAGTTTGCATAGTTTGTCAATACACTGTGTGTGTGTGTGTGTGTGTGTGTGTGTAGAGAAAAGGAAATGCATCATATATTACCATTTAAATTCTTTTTCTGATAAAGTGAGAAGTCAGAATTAAAGCATGGAAGAGGGGAACTATAATTTTAGTCGTACTTAACCTCTTCCATGTAAAGAGAGCGATTAGAAGTTCAGGCCTCATCTCCGGGCACTGTGTACACCTGTAGTGCTCAGGCAGAACAGGTGGGCTGACTTCCAGCTCCTTCTCTGCCTTCTCACAGAAGTGAATCAGGAGGATAACTTCTAAGAAGGCAGTGATAGGTAAGAGGAGAGACAACATGAGACTAGAGACCTAAAGAGAGGTTAGCTAACTAAGTAAAGAGAAATTGAGAGAGGATTAAAAATCAGGTAAAGAGAAATTTAAAGATTTGGAACAGGAGCTGGGTTAGAGAGGAGGAAGAAAAGGAGGAGGAGGAGGAGAAAGAGGAAGAGGAGGAAAAGAAGAGATATAGGTGGTTAATCTCTCTGCATCCTCATTGAATTTTCTGTTCTGGACTATATAGTTTTCGTTTCATTAATTGATTAATTAAATGTGAAATGTTTGAATTGAAAATTGCATCTTGATGAATTACTAAGATATTAATTGACTAAGGTATGAATGCCCATTTTGTACTGAAAGGTTCTTGCCAGTCACATTGACAAGTCGGCTTGGCTAGAAGCTCAAGTGCGTCAGTTATTACAGATGGCAAACCAGCAACAAAATAGACTTGATCTGAGGCCTTTGGTGGAAACGATTGATACAGTGAAAGAGAAGATCACCCTGCTGGAAAGCAATGATCAAAGATTAGGTATGTCTCATATTTTCTACTTCCCTTTCGAGGACTCTTTTGTCTGCAGGTGTTCACGCAACAAGCTAACATCTGGCCAAATGGAGTCACAGCTGTCCAGGACAAACTAGTTGAATCTGGTATTTTCAAAACAGCATGATAGTCTGGCTACTCAGACAAAAATTATGAAGAGCCTTAGCCGGGGCTGGAAGAGGCAAAGGGTAGAAAAGGGCCAGGAAATATCAAGAACAAGGGAACGATGGTTTTTAATTGAGAGTGGAAAATCATGAGAAAGCTAAGAGAAACATGTGGTTGGAACATTGTTTTTAGTGGAAGCAGACTTTTGAGATACTGAGTCTTTGATCTCAGGCCACTGGAATAAAGCAGATATTGCAATGAAGTGGGTCACAGGTTTTTTGGTTTCCCGGTACATATAAAAGTTATATTTACACTATACTGTAGTCTATTAAGTGTGCAATAGAGTTGCCTGAAAAAAAAATAATATACTTGCCTTAATTAATAATACTTTATCACCAAGGAATGCTGTCATCTGAGGTTTCAGAGAGTCATAATCGGTTTGCTGGGTGACAGCTCTTACACTAGTAACATCAGAGATCCCTGATCACAGATCACCGTAACAAATGTAATGAAAAATTTTGATATATTGCCACAATTCCCAGAATGTGACACAGAGACAGGAAGTGAGCACATGCTGCTGAAAAATCGGTGCCATGCCGATAGACTTGCTTGAGGCAGGGTTGTACAGGGAGATATAAGAGGGTTTGGTTGTTTAAAAGCATCCCAGTTTGAAAACTAGGGGCTCGAGTGTTCACACACGTTAGTTGAATGCTGAGTGTCTTCTCTACACATCGGTGGGTTTCAGTTCAAAAGGACACATTCTTTTTTTTTTTTTTAATAAATATTTATTGTTCATATTATTACAATTGTTTCTCTTTTTCCCTCCCTCCTTCCCTCAAGAGGACACATTCGAGTTTGCTTGGTGCCGTTCTTGCCAAGACATGAGATTCACTGAGTTGCTCTTAGTAATTCTAGTGGCCCATTGGTGGACATCGAATCCACTTCATCTTTAGGATGTCAGAGTTTTATCAGTTCTTCTCAGAGAGCAAAATTCCACTTTGGGCAAATTCTAAACACAGCTCAGGCCTACAGCATCTGTGTGCTCATGTGTGTGTGTGTGTGTGTGTGTGTGTGTGTGTGTCTTTGCAGTTGTCCTGGAAGGGGAGACGAGCAGACACGACGCCCACATCAATATCCACAAAGCACAGCTGAATAAGAACGAAGAGCGGTTCAAGCTGCTGGAAGGCGCCTGCTACAATGGCAAGCTCATCTGGAAGGTGACGGACTACGTGGCGAAGAAGAGAGAGGCGCTGGACGGGCACACGGTGTCCATCTTCAGCCAGCCCTTCTACACCAGCCGGTGCGGCTACCGCCTCTGCGCCAGAGCCTACCTCAACGGGGACGGCTCCGGGAAGGGCACGCACCTGTCGCTGTACTTCGTGGTGATGCGAGGGGAGTTTGACTCCCTGCTGCAGTGGCCGTTCCGGCAGAGGGTCACCCTGATGCTGCTGGACCAGAGTGGCAAAAAGAACCACATCGTGGAGACCTTCAAGGCCGACCCCAATAGCAGCAGCTTTAAGCGTCCCGACGGGGAGATGAACATTGCCTCCGGCTGCCCGCGCTTCGTGGCTCACTCCGTCCTGGAGAACGCCAAGAGCACCTACATCAAAGATGACACCATCTTCTTGAAAGTGACAGTGGATTTAACTGACCTGGAGGAGCTCTAGTCCCTCTTTCTGGGGGGATAAAAGGATTTCTTGGGTCCAGGACTGTGGAGGAAACCTTTGGTTAGCACAGCGACTGAATTTCAACTCAGTCCACATTTGTGTTTGGCTTTTGCCCTTAGCATGGGAAGACACTTTAAAGCTTCCTAAGTGCTGCCTTCTTTCCCAGTTTGAAACTTAAAACACTTAGGATATCCTCTTATTTATATTTTTCTCTCTCTCCAAAGATGGCAAGTTTCTTGAAAGCAAGGGCCGGGACATCTCTTTTTTGCTGGTGCTTAGCATGGGGTCTCAGGGCAAGCTCTCTATATTAAATGTCAAGGAGGATGCAGGTGTGGAATTCGCAGTTGAAAATGTTTGGTATTTGGTCTGCTCGTTCTAGACTTGACCATATGCCTATGAAAGCCGTACTCTGGATTGTTCCAGATCAGTAGATAGATGTTACAAGACAGTATGTCCAGTTGGAACAGACGTTTTTGGGTCAGATACTGAGCAACTAAATATTTTCATGAAAGTCACCAATAGTCAACAGACACAATTTTTGAAGGCTGCATAAGTGGTGACAAGAATAGGCATCTTCATTCTCCCTGCAGAAATACAGAAAAAAGTACCACATAGCATATAAAAAAAGGAGATATAAACATCCAACTAAAGTCCAGATTTTATTAAGGTCAACCATATGGAAAACTGTTTTTATAGATTAAAATTAAATATTAGAAGTTAATAAGGTTCAACTTAATATATATGTATATGTATATAAATAATTTAAAGACATTTTGGTATTAACAGTAAATGAATGTGAGGATGGGCAGAAGTTAATATATGATGGAGGAAATGTCATAAATGAATGAGGAATTTAAAACCGAGGGAAGACATCATTACAGTTTCCCATGGGTGTCAGAAGCACTCCCATCCAAAACTGACTGCTAAAAACAGTTCTATTCTTCTTGAGAAAATTTTTATTTCATAAATTGATATGAAAATGGGTATTTATATAAACTTTTGACTTTCCTTGTTGAAAACCTAAGTACTCTGTGAAGAAATGATTATGCTCTTACACATTTTTTCTGTATAGGTCTGAAGGTGTATATTCAAGTCAAGGCTGAGTCCTTCTGACTATTGATAGACCTGAGGTTAACAAAAAAAAATACCCAGTTTACCTGAGTCCTAATTCATTCTCATGCAACTGAGCACCGCCCCCTCCCCTCCTGGCCTGGCTCCCTTGATCCTGCAAGGACAAGTGTCACCAGCTGAGGGCCACTCAGCGCAGCTCACTGAAGGCAATGACCCCGCACCTTACAACTTCTAAACAGTTAACCTGAAGAAGAAGCATGATTTATACCAGTGGCTTCAGGAATAACTGAAATTTTCAAAATGCTAAAGCACCATGGTGCAGAAATCATCTCAAAGGGATTAAATTCAAAGAAATAAGTTCACAATAGAAACACACTCAAGAACTACACTGTAGCTGCCAGTGAACCGTGATACAGTCAGTGGTCAGCATGTCAGGTCAGACTAACTCAGGAAGCCTTCCTCTAGACCACACAGGTGATTCTCTGTGTTCGTTTTTGGTGTTTCTAACCAGGTTCAAGATCACCCCTGTCCTCCTGGGGAGCGGGAGATCATATCGTTGTAACTCGTTTTAAGTAGATGATGTGAAAAACATTTTAAAGTGAATTTATTAAAATACTAGTTTTGTGTTTTATCCAATTTCTCCGCATAAAAAGTACAAGCGATGGCATGGTTTGCTTACAGGTTCAGAATCCCTTCATCATTGAAACTGATCACACAAAAAAAGGTATCCTAGAGTAAAAAGCCCTCCTTTCCTACAAAATAAGAATTACAATTTTTTGTTTTAAAGAGGCAGATCCATGTAAAACATTTTTCCTCTTTTACAATATGAAATCATTTTTATCTATGTCAATAAGATTTCGATTTTATTTCCATTTTTATTTTATATCAATTCCTGGTGAAGAAAAAAACAATATACTGGGCATAAAAGGGGCATTAACGTTGAGAAATATATGTGCAGGATTAAAGAAGGGTGTGGAGGTGGGGTCATATTAATGCATAACAACAGATCTGACTTGCAAACCCTGACTTCCAAATTTGACATGTTCAGAGAAACAAGAAATAGTCACGGCCAAGTTCAACTCATACGGCCGGCCTTGAATGCAAGTAAACAGGAGATACCAAGCCTTTGTGTGGTCCCTCAGACAATCCACTGACACCGCCAATGCAGACTGCCTCTTTTCTTCTAGAAAATGGTTGGACACAATGGGTCTTAATCTTACCAAGAACTCTGGGCTGGAGATAAAGTTTTGCTAGATACACAGCAGGGAAATCAGGTGGTGAAATCACCTGAGATCCCTACTGTTTAGGGAAGGAGAGGAGCCTACAAAGCATTTGGAGAAGGAATGTTCAGAGGTAAGGGAAGTACAGGGGAGATGGGAAAGGAATGTCCGTAGGACCAAATGCCACCCTGAGAACAGTAGTTGTTCCCGGTGCACCCACAGCTGACTCTTGAACTCATTATCCACCCCCATGCTGCTCCCTCCTCTGTATCTCTGACCCTGGTCTTTAAGCTGCAGATTGCTATATCCCTGTTGTTCATATGAAGTCTTCCAGTTTTCGTACTGTTCTGCACATTTCCTTTTAGATTTTTACCTACCTATCATCTAAACCTGGAAGTCCTACAGGGCCTTTAAAGTCAGCTTTAGTATAAGTGAACTGGAAATCTTCCCACTCTCTCCACATGAATCCTCTGTGCATTCTACCCCAGATAATGACTTCACCATCCAAATGAGAAGTTTGGACACTGATCTAGATTCCTTCCTCACTGTCTCCACCCAGTTCTGCCAATATGACCCCCAGATAAAAATTATTCCTAACAACTTACCCCCTACTGTCTTTTTTTAAAAAAGGTTATCTACCAGAAACCTTCAAAAAACATGAACAACACATAATAGGCAATCCAAATAACTTCTGGAAAGAACTACCCCTGATGCTACTATACAATGTTGTACTGAAAAAAAAAAATTTTTTTTTTGGGGGGGGGGCAAAATTGATATTTACAGATAGATTCTTACCTATAAAATCCAAAAGAATACAAAGGTTCAGCTGAATGAACAGACGGACCAACATACCAAAAAACAAATTATCCTAGGGCCCATTATGAAAAGTAAACTAAAACAGCAACAAAAGCTGGTAGGTTAAAACTAAAAGGAAATGTGCAGAATAGCACGAAGACTGGAAGACTTCACAGGAACCACAGGGAAGACTCCAATTCATGGAGCAAAAACCACATTACCAGATGGTCTCAGTATCTTACTAGTATCAAATCTGGGCAAATTAATCTACAAAAAAAAAAAAACAACACAGATCCCGGAAAACTTGGCCACGTGGCCACAATCTTGTAACAGAACCTGAAATGAAATCTCTAACAAATTCCGGGGGGTAAATGCTGCCATTTGTTGACACTCTGTTATAGATTTTGGCCCCACGATTTGAGGTTCCGGGCGACATTAAGCCAATCCCTCGCCCACAGGCCTGACTGCAGGCCCTGCGCCGGAAGAGCCACGTGAGCCCCGCCCCTATCTGTGTCGTGGACAGAACGTTTCCGGTGGCTGGCGTGTGCACGCATGCGTGGAGGCCCCGCCCCGCCCACCCCGCTCAGTAGCTCATGGTCCAGCGTCGGGCGTCAGCTCCCCTCCTTCCTCTGCACCCTCGGGCCCGGCCGGAACCGGCCCAGGAAGGTCGTTTCCCCTGCAGTTTACAGTAAGTGTGGCCAGGCAGAGGCCGCGCGGGCATTTTCTTTCTCCCTTTCCCCCCAACTCCCTCCCCAGCAGGCCTCTAAGGTCAAAGCCAGGATGGTGGGCCTCTCATTCCCAAGTCAGGCCGCGCCCAGCACTCAGGGTTCCTCCCCCAGGTGATGAGCCCTTTCTGGTAAGCGTTTCTTACTCATCATAGTCATTGGCTTGTCATATCCATAGTAAATCCTCAATATCGTGGGTGGTTTCTGCGACTTGAAGCAAAACTAGTCTCAGGAAAGTCATTGTAGCATAGGCTGATATTAACCAGCACCGTTCCCAGGGCATCTCGTCAACCAAACCAGGATGAGTAACACCACGTTATTGGAGGTCCTGCTGCACTCGGCAAGGTGTGGCCTTGGTCTGACCCTATTCTCAGGTCTTGCTCTGCCTCCCATTTTGAGAGCCCGCAGACACCCCCCTCATCTCCCCTGGAAATGTTCTTTCCTCCAACTCCCTTTGGGAACCTACTCTTTGTGGCTGCTTCTGAATCTTTCCACTTGGCATGAAAATCTCTCCCAAGGACCACCCATCTCGGTGCAGGGTCCCTTGCTAATCTTTCCTCTTATTAAATAAACAATTAAGGAAAGAATCCCTTAAGAATAAGACATTGACCTAAGCGTTTTACACGTATTTTATTCACCGCACCACTCCGTAATTAGATACCGATGAGAATACCGAGGCACAGAGAATTGATGTAATTTGCTTGCAGTGACAGCTGGGTGTGATGGAGTTGAAATGTGAATCTCCTGGGTAGCTTACCCCAAAGCTGGTGCTGTTACCCCTTTCTCTTTCCCGTACACTTGGGCATCTCCCTTTTAGCTGTTTTTCATGAGGATTTTTTTTTTTCCGGATGCTCTCTAGAAAGTTCCTGTTTCTGAAAAGTTGGCCATTGTCTACACACTTTTTCAGAGCTGTCCACACTGGCCCTTGAGCGTTCCATTTTTATCAGGTATCTAAGCTCTGAGTTCAGTAATACAGATTTCACACCCTCAAAATGTACTCGATGCTTCGTTAGGTACCTCTCACCCAGTCCTCATTCATCAACCTTCTTCCCCTGCATGTCATTATTGTTATCACCGGCCGCCACTGGCGTGCGCACATGTTTGTTCTCGGCAAGCATTTGAGCAGCTTGTATAAGACAAGATGATTGCAGCCCTTCCCTCCGAAGCCTACGTGTTAAAAACACCTGAT